GCAGAATTGCTGCATGCAATGTACTCTGATGACGTGAATTATGCATACATTTCTTTTTTATATCCAATTCTGACCAATGTTAACAGGGTTAACAAATTATTTGAATCTAAAGACGCAGATCATTCAAAACTGTATAACGAACTCACAAATTTAATTGATACACTTGTTGACAAGATAAAATTGCCTACCCAGAAGGTAGATATTTTTACGGAAAATATTCAAAATTATATAGATACGAAATGCTATTTAGGGTACCAATTGGAAACTCACTTGAAAACTATGAAAACTAAAGGACTACCGCCTGATCAGGAAGATGTAATCCGCAGCAGGTGCATCCAGTTCATTGTATGTTTAATTCAAGAATTGAAAAACAGATTGCCCGAAAACTTGAAGCTGATGAAAAGTATTCAAGTAATCAGCGTAGAACACGCACTGTCTCACAACAAAGAACCAATTACTGACTTAATGTTGCATTTTAATAAAAAACAGGAAGATATTGCAAAACTTGATGAGCAGTGGCGTCAAATACATTTACTTAACTGGAAAAATACAAAGAAATTTTGGTACGAGGTATTAAAATTCGAAGATGCAGTAGGAGAGAATAGATTTAATGATTTAGCTACATTTGCAATATCTTTATTGGTTTTGCCGCACTCTAACGCTGATGTAGAGCGATTATTTAGCATGATGAACGTTGTCAAGACTAAACAGAGAAACCGGATGAAATTTGATCTCCTGTCTTCCATTCTCACAATACGTGCAGGCTTAGCACGCGAAGGCAAATGCTGCAATAACTACATAATACCACATAACGTTTAACTAAAAATTGGAACAAAAGAAATTTATTCTTCACAAACTAAGGCAGAAGAAGCTGATTCCTCTGAAGACGATCATTTTTAGTTATGTATGTACAATTATTGTTTTCCTGTTTTGTGTTAACCTTAATAATTATTACATGTTAATAATACATTGTTGTTATTTTATTTCCAAATTATATTTAGGTTGGTAGTCGTTGTTTTCCGGTTATCTAGTGGAATTCTGGTGGTTTGGTAGGTCGCAGAGTTTTAGTGGTTTACAGTGGTTTTCACGGCCTAATTTGGTGGATTGGTAAAAATAAAGTTGGCAACACTGGTGAAGTTTATCAAGTTTAAAAAAAGTTACAACATATATAAATCAAGCTGAAGTGGTCTGTGAACCCCATTTGTTTTAGAAATATTTTAAGTGTTTTAAGTTCTCTAAAGTTTGTGAATTGTGTGACAAAGTTACTAAAAATGAAGTTTAGTGTTGCGACAATATTCACGGCACAACAACGTTGCACCTTCCTAATTTTCACTCAAATCAAGGTAATTATTTCACTTTTTATTTCTTGCGAATACTTTTTATTTAGCAAACTATTTAGTCTCTTTATTTATTATCTTTAGACTTTACCTACCCCTGTGGGCAACGGCGTGATATGTTTATATGTAGATATCAAACGATTGAATGTTATAAAATTAGTTTTAAAGAACAATATTATGCCTAATGCTGTATCTTATTATTGCAGAAATGGCAAACAGACCTACCCCACACCAAATGGAAGCCTTAGTGGAGTTCCTGGAACAAAACCCAGGAGTAGCACGAGGCCTTCTGCGAATACAGCAGGCCAAAGTGGAAACTAAAAGGAAGTGGCAGGAGTTTGCGACTGCCACAAACGCCATGGGTGGGGTGGTCAAAGATGGGCAGGCTTGGGCTAAGGTGAGCAAACAAAAAAGTATTTCAGTGAAGTTAAATCTTTAATAATATCACTTACTAAATCATAATTATTTCCTTTTTTCTGGATTAGTATTGGGCAGAAAAGAAGTCTACCTTGAAAAAGCTCTGCCAACAGCGGGCTCAGTCTATGAGGTGCACTGGAGGTGGCTTTGATGTTGTCCCAGAGCTGTCACTGCTCGAACAGAGATTAGTGGCAGTCATGGGTGGTGACTCGTTTGCCACAGGCAGCAGAGGCCTAGCTGTAGATCCGTTTCCGCAGAGTGATGTGAGTATAATAAAATAATAATATAACATAAAATTTGTTTATTCAGAAACTAGGCCTTCCTACTCAGGCACTTTTTCATGTCAAGGTTTGAATAAACAGTATTATAATAAGGTACAAACTACTAGTGTTTTGGAATGACCACTGTAGAGAAGAAATGCCGAAAGAAACTCATTACAGTATTGGTCCCTATCATGCCAAAAATGGCTGTAAATTGTAATACATTTTTGTTTAAATAATAGTGTACATAAATATGTTCTTAAATATGTTATAATATGATCAGCTGAATAACATTAACAAAATTGAAATATAAATAAAAGAAAAAAATATTGTAAATTAGGAGTAATTAATAAAGAAACCATTTCTTTATTTTGCACACAATTATGATATATATCGATTTGCATAATTCAGTTGTGTGATATTTAATGACTTCCTTTTTTCTTTGCTGTTACAGTCTAGCCCTTCAATTTTGGTGGACCTTCCATCCACATCCCAGATTGCAGCTGTAGAAGTAGTTGCACCTGAAATACAGGAAAGTGATCCATGTCCTGTAGAGGCTGAGCTGCTAATACAGACACCATCGAAAACCACAGGGGGTAAGGAGGCTAGATTTAGACGAGAATTGAACCAAGTGCTACCTATAATAATCGATTGTGTTTTGGATGGATTAACTTTAAGGCCAAAGGACTGACTCCATTGACGAATGGATTCAAGGTCCACATTGGTAGTACTAATGGCACGTGGTAAGTCTTGAATAGACGACTGGGTGTAAATCTGGAGGTCATCAGCATAAAGATGATAAGAAGAAGTGAGGGATTGTGTGATAGAGTTAATAAACAAAGAAAATAAGAGAGGAGAAAGGACGCCACCCTGCGGGACACCGGCGGAAATATCGCACCACGTAGAGAAAGAATTCTCATTGCGTACACACTGCCGACGTCCACAGAGGTAGCTTCGAAACCAATCAATAACTGCTGGAGATATGTTAAGAATACGCAATGCCTCCAATAACAGGTCAAAGTCAACACAATTGAAGGCATTACTGAAGTCAAGGAGTGTCAGCACAGTCAATTGTTGATTTTCCATACCCAAACGGATGTCATCAGTGATTTTCGTGAGTGCAGTAGTCGTACTATGACCAATGCGGAAACCAGACTGGAGAGGATTGAAAAGGTTGTTCCTGTTTACGAAATTAGTCAACTGACAGTGAACAAGCTTTTCTAGGACTTTCGACAGGAAAGGAAGAATTGAAATAGGACGGTAGTCTGAAGGGAAGTTTGGTTTGGTTTTTTTTGGTAATGGAATGACATAAGCGTCTTTCCAGGCAGAGGGGAAAACACAGGTAGAGACAGATTTATTAAGGATTTTAGTTATGACGGGAGTGAGGAGATCGAGGAGCGGAATGATCATATTACGACTAATGCAATCACTGCCTACAGCATTGGAAGCGATAGCTAAAACGTTTAAATGTGTATAATTATTTACAACAATCTGCCAAATTAAATTGAATTGTTGCAAAGACATACTTTTGAATTACAATTGATGGCTTCCGTGGTCGAGTGGCTTGCACACCGGTTTCCATGGTGTCGCCATCTCTGAGGTCCCGGGTTCGATCCCCGGCCGGGTCAGTGTAGAAACTAACTTTTCTATATTGTCTCGGGTCTGGGTGTTTGTGGTACCGTCGTTGTTTCCGATTTCCATAACACAAGTGCTTTAGCTACTTACTTTGGGATCAGAGCAAAGTATGTGATGTTGTCTAAGATTTATTTATTTATATTTAATTGACAAAATGGCTTTTGACACATTGCTTCTATAGTAATAAAGAATACTTAGAATTTTCAAATAAACATTTACATTAATTTGAAGTGCAATTAACAGTACAAACCAAACATGAAATTAATATTCGTACGTCTGCTTGCAGGTTGAATACAATGTACGTTATTTTATTTAAGACCTTTATCATTACTGTATTCTGGCAAATAAACGTATTCTATTCTATTCGTCAAACACATTGTACAAGCCTATAAAATTTGGGGAATTCCTTCGATTTCCATGGGATCTCCTCATCAGATTCTGTCTTAGTGACAATGAGAGTACCTGGAGAGTGCACCCTTTCAAACAAAAAAAGAATTTTCTAAATCGGTCCGCCTTTGACGGAGAAATCGGTGAATACACTGTATATGCTATATAATTTGAGGATTACGCTCGATTTCCATGAGATTCCCTTATCAGATTCTGACTTGATGAGACCGGGGATGGTTGACTATAGGGGTAGGTAGACCAATTGCCAAAAACTCATCAAAGATATGAGTACTATGTCATCCCGGCCCAGCCGCGCATTAATCTTCGCCCCCCGATCAGTCGTCGCGAGTGCCGTGCCGCGGACACACGCCGTTTTCGAGCAGTGACACGTGATTTGTTTTCATATCATGTAAGTAATATTTCATATTGCATATTTTTTCATCTGACACCTACACATTTTATGTTAACCATTTGCCTATTAGCCAGCGTCTATCGTGAGTGCATATTAATCATATTTCATGTATTATTTCTAAAATTAATGGCAGTGTTTAGGTAACCCATGCCATTGAAACTTAAAACGGCGTTTGGGGTTGGTAGACTAATTTCTTTCGGGGCTGGTTGAATAAATAGTTAGTCAACCAACCCCAATATAATTTGAAGTTTAAAATGTGTCGTAAATTAACGTTTTATTCGTGTTTTAACCTTAGGATGGTAACAGGGGTTACTCTTCACCCCAGACAACCAATCACATGCTAATATCTCGAATGTGATTTGTTGTCTCTTTCTGTCATTTCATGTATTCTCTTGTTTTGTCGTTCGCAATTAGTAACGGTTGCGCGCGGGCAGCGAATGGACGTCGCTTCGGAGATATAGGTATGTGTGGGGTGACGCGTCACCCCTGTTACTATTTACGTGTGAATTTTTTTGCATACTCAAATTAAATATGTATTGTTTTAGGTAAAAAATGGATTTTTTAAGTGATGAACAGGTTGGAAATATACTAAATAATAGTGATGAAGATAATGACGAAGAATTTTTGATGCTTGAGACCGAAGAAACGTCAGATTGCGAAGACAACATCTCAGTGCATTCGGATGAAGAGGATGTAATTTCTGGCTCAGATGACGATGATGTGCCATTGTCACAAATGCGCGGTAATGCCTTAAGAGGAAAGAATGGCCACCTCTGGTCATCTGTTGCACCATCTTCAAGTAGAACACCTCAGCGTAATATTGTTAGCCTCCAGAGAACTCCACAAGCAATTATGGAAGGTATTCGTGATGAAAAAGATGCATTTATGTTATTATTCTCTAAGCCAATTGATTTGATAGTAAAGTATACCAATGAAGAGATTGGAAGACGTGCTCCTAAGTACAAAGATCAGCGATATACTAATCAAACTGACTCGATTGAAATCCAAGCCCTCATTGGTCTATTATTCTTTTCTGCTATCAACAAAGATAATAGAAAAAGTACTAAAGAAATGTGGTCGCTAATGAGTACACCTATATACAAGTCTATAATGTCTGAGAGTCGATATCAATTTCTACTTCTGTGTCTAAGATTTGATGACAAAGACAGTCGTCATAAAGAAGACCGATTTGCTCCAATTCGAGAAGTTTGGACAATCTTTATCAACAGTTGCAAAGAGTCTTACAAGCCAAGCGCCTTCGTAACTATTGACGAGCAGTTATTAGGTTTTCGAGGAAAGTGTCCCTTTCGCGTCTACATTTCTTCAAAACCTGACAAATACGGGATGAAAGTTGTAGCTATTTGTGACGCTAAAACTTACTATATGTTTGATGCCATCCCTTATATAGGCAAGGGAACCGAAGCAAAGTCCGCAGCAGACTACGTCACAAAATTAGCAGATAGCATCAAAGGATCTGGTCGAAACATAACCTTTGATAATTGGTTTACATCAGTGCCACTTGCTGATTTACTACTGAAGGATTACAAGCTGACTTGTATTGGAACATTGCGTTAAAACAAACGTGAGATACCGCCCTCGTTTTTGCCGAACAAGAATAAGAAACCTTTGTCTTCCCAGTTTGCATTTGATAGAGAAAAGACATTAGTATCTTTTACTCCTAAGACTAACAAGTCTGTTATACTGCTGTCTACTATGCATTACAAAGAAGAAATAAATCCATCTACAAGCAAGCCAATCATAATTGATGACTACAATGCTACGAAGGGAGGCGTCGACACTTTTGATAAAATGATGCATAATTACTCGACAGCCAGAGGCACCCGTCGCTGGCCTCTCAGGTTCTTCTTTGGGATGTTAGATCAGGCAGGCATCAATGCTATGATATTGTACCTCAAGGCTAAAAAACCTAATACACCAGCTAAGAAGTATAGAAGTGGTTTCTTAAAAAATATGGCCTTGCAGTTGGCTAAGCCACATACGAAAAGACGTTTACAATCAAATTTACCTCGCGAATTGGCTAGCACTATACGTGCTATTCTTGACATTCCAGAAGAAATTCCTGAAGGCGAACCCCCTTCAAAATTACAGAAGCAAGCCAGATGTGTGTTGTGCCCACGTAAAAAGTATAAAAAAGTCAAAATTGTGTGCACAAAATGCAAGAAGCCAGTATGTCCTGAACATAGAAGAGAAATTTGTTTGAGCTGTGTTTAGATTATATTTTTAATGTTTTTGTTTGTTTAATTTTATTGAAAACTGATTGATCTCGGAAAAAAGTTCCTATTTGTTTGCTTAATAATTAAATATAAAGTTAATTCCTTAAAAACTGTGTTTTATTCACTACTTGAAGGTGTGAAGGTGCGAATGGTAACTGGGGTGACCAGTCACCCCAGTTACCATTCGCGTTTCAATAAAATCTGTTACTATCCCAGGGTATTTATTTTGTTACAGTACAATGAGGACCTATAAAAGAAGGACTGAACGAGCTGATACACCAAAAGATGTCGTAGAAAGAGCTTGTCATCTAATAATTTTTGACAAAAAAAGTATTAATGCAACCTCAAAACAATATGACATTCCCCATAAGACATTACATCGTTATGTGGCGAAACTAAAGGAGAAATTGGAACGTAATTCGAACTTGACGAGAGCAAAATTAACCTTGGATTCAGTGGGATATATTAAAAATAGGCAAGTTTTCACTAATGTAGAAGAAGAAGCTTTAGCAAGTTATTTAAAGAAAGCCGCTGATATTTATTATGGATTGACACCTCATGAGACTTAAAAATTAGCATATCAGTTCGCCATAGAAAGTAACATTGCTATGCCTAGTTCTTGGAAAACAAAATTGTTAGCTGGCGAAGATTGGTTAGGCTCGTTTCTCAAACGTCATCCTTCTTTATCTATGAGGACACCTCAAGCAACAAGCCTTTCAAGAGCTACATCATTCAACAAACATAACGTTAGTATGTTCTTCGCTATTTTAACTGCTGTTTACCAACGTTTAAATCTAAGCCCGTGTGATATCTGGAACGTTGATGAAACAGGTATGACAACCGTGCAAGTACCTAAGAGAGTAATAGCGCGACGTGGTGTTAAAAATCTAGGCAAGATGACATCTGCTGAGAGGGGAACACTGGTGCCAGTTGCAGTAGCTGTTTCAGCTGTTGGAAATATGGTTCCACCATTTTTCGTATTCCCACGCGTCCGTTATAAGTCCTATTTTGCTAGAGGTGGCCCAATAGGATGTGATGGTGATGCTGATTCGTCTGCCTGGATGAAAGAACATAACTTTATAAAATACGCCAAACATTTCGTGAAACATGTTAAACCTAGTAAAGAAAAACCTGTACTTTTGTAGTTGGATAACCATGACTCTCACTTATCAATTGAAGCGTTGGATTACTTTAAAACTAATGGCGTGACAGTTTTATCATTCCCTCCCCTCCACATTGTAGTCACAAGCTACAACCACTTGACAGAACTGTGTACGGACCATTGAAAAAGTATTTCAACCGAGCATGTGACAACTGGCTGGCTAGTAACCCGGGAAAAACTATTACAATTTATGAAATACCGGAGCTACTTAAAGCGTCACTACCATTGGCTGCTACAATTGAAAATATTCAATCAGGATTCAGAGTATCCGGAATTTCACCATTGAATGAAAACATTTTTCCTCACTACGAGTTTAGTGGTTCTTATGTGACAGATAGGCCGATGCCCACATCCCGTGATGGTGGTGATCCTTCAGCATGTGACGTGAGCACAGTTGCTGTTCCATCGACTTCCGATGCATCTAACAGGTTGTCTATTGTTGAAGAGATTCCAATTCCTGATCACCATACAATAACTGGAAGTCACTCTCTGGCACCGCAATGTTTATCTGTAATTACAGATCAGATTACTACCACAATACCCTCTCCTACAAGATCTTTGAGTCTTTTTGACGAAACAATCGATTCTGTATTTGAACCGGAACTGAGAGAAAACCTCAAAACACCAGAAAACGTTCATCCTACAGAAGCAAATGTGTCCCCATCTTTACACAAACTAAACCTGGCCTCAACTTCATCAGCAATATTAGAAGAGCTAAAACCCTTTCCAAAAGCGCCGCCACTTTTAGAAAACAGAATAAATATTCGGAAACGTAAAAGTACTATATATACCGACACCCCGGAAAAACTTAATCTTTTAGATATGATAAACAAAAGAAAAACTTTTAAGAAGAAAAAAACAGATACAAAGAACAGAATAGAAAAAGGAAAGGGAAAAGGAAAGGGTAAAGGAAATGGTAAAGGAAAAGGACCGGATAAAGTTAATGAGATTGCTGATGGCACCGTCGAAAATGACGGTAATGCTGTAAATTCAGATGACGAGAGTACGATTTGTTTAGAGTGCACTGAATCCTACGTCGATAGTGTTCCAGGCGAACAATGGATTCAGTGCATAACTTGTAAGCTATGGGCTCATTCCAAATGTGTAAGAGGTAATCTAATGTTTTTTGAATGCAAACATTGCACTTCTGATGTTGAAGACTGATAACTTGTCTGTTTTTTTAAGAATACAAAGATTAATATAAGGCTGATCAAGAGTTTAGTTTAAACAAAATGATTTATACTCTTGATGATAACTACTAAGACTAAGAAAACTAATAAGTTTAGATAATAAAAATAGATGTTTAATAATTACTACAATTTCAACAGAGCAATAAAAATGTGCATTTAATTTCTAGCGTAAGAAATATTGATTTAAAACGTTTAGTTAATAAAACTAATAAACGTTTAAATAAAAACTAAGAGTTGATAGTTTTGTTAATGACTTCTATTATAAGACAATAATCTCAGTACAGAGTACTAAAAAAACTGACCTCAAAAGTACGTGGACTTACGTCTACTTGCTAAGTTTCATTGAAATATCCCCTAGTTCGCCACTATACAGGACTTGATACTGGAGATAATAAAAATAGGTTCTCACTACGACACTACTCAAAGTATATCGAGAGAAAAACGCCTTGAATTGGAGAAATAGCAAAATCAACTAAATAATTGCTAAAAGTAATTGCTCCTAAGTTAAAGTGCCTAACTTTAACTTAGGAGCTATTTATAAAAATGAATCTTCATGCGTGAACAGCCAATCTTTGAGGTGGATGATTTTCTTCAAAATGAAATGGGACCACTATGGAAATACCCCCTTTCCAACAAAAAAAAGAATCATGAAAATCGGTTCACAAATACCGGAGTTATCGCGTAACATACATACAAAAAAAAAGAACATACAGTCGAATTGAGAACCTCCTCCTTTTTCGAAGTCGGTTAAAAAGTTGATTTAAAACTGTTTAATTATAAAAGTAATAAATGTTTAAATAAAAACTAGGAGTTGATAGTTTTGTTAAAGACTTGTTGTAAGATAATGTCTGTACCTGATTAAAATTGTTATTGAATAAAAAGTTTTGTGAAATTATAAAAAAAAGGTTTTACTGCTTGACTCTTCTCATCATTTGACACTTGATACATAAGTCTACTTACCCCGGGCATATAGTCAATCTACCCCGGACCCGGGGTAAATTGACTAAGAGTTGGTGTTCTGTTAAATGCGTTAAATTGTGATAATTTTTTTTTTATAAACGCACACACTTGACATAGCCCCGCACTAGGGAAACCCTGTATCGCGGGTGCCATGGACACACATAGACAACCAACCACAAATTACACCCAAACTCACGAGAGAAATAAATGTAGGCCATACAAATATTTCTCCCGGCCCGGGAATCGTACCTGAGACCTCTGCGTGGCAGTCCGACATGGTAACCGTTCGGCCACGGAGGCAGTTATATTAGTTATATTGAATAATGGACTAGTTTTTATATTTTTTTATAAGTTTAATAGTTCTTCTATCCATTGATGCCGTTTTATTGTCTGTATGTATAAACACACAAAAAACTTGTATGATTTTGTAAAAAATTAGTCAACCATCCCCGGTCTCCCCTACACCCCTTCAAACAAAAAAACAATTTTCAAAATCGGTCCACAATTATCGTAGAAATCAGACAACATACATAAAACATACATACAATCGAACGCATAACCTCTTTTATGTTGAAGTCGGTTAGAAAACGAATCACCCAGCAATGGTAGTGAGGTTATTAATTACATAATTTGTTTGAATACTTTGTCCAAGTAGAACACATCGCTATAGAAATAATAAAAAATACATACATGTTTAATAATAACTCTACGTATATCAATTTTATTAAATGTGAAAAACATAAAAATATCCTATGTAAGTATTTACTAATAAAAGTGTTGTGTTCTGCCTAGTTAGGAATGTCGAAAGGACATTCCTAACTAGGCAGAACTATTCATAATATAAGGCAGGAGCTATTATAATTTTAGTAAAGCAAATTGTAATGAAATGGACTCTATTATCATGCACGTTTGAGAATATTATAATAAAAGAAAGGGTAGAAAATTAGAACGGCAAACTGGTGTATAGGTGCTTATGTGATCGATTTTACAAGGAATTATTTAGTTTAGTTGCTGTTGTAAAGTAATTAATCTATTATTGTACGTCGGTTGAATCAGTCAGAACCGTTGATATTTCGAAAACAATCGAAATTTGCAAGTTTTTAGTGTAATAAAGAAGACATCAACGACGACGCTCGGCTTCAAATACTTTCTTGCTCACACACCAACTATCTATCTCGCTCGGAGTCCTCCCCAGTACTTTGCATACGGCACTGGCGTACGGCCACTATACAGTGTGTTAGGGCACGCACTGTACATACTTTAAGGGGGTGTTTAGTATTCAATATTATGTGAAAAACACTAATACATGTGGGGTCAAAACTCGACTGCCTAGGAATGGCAGCCTATTTTGATTTGTTATACTTAGTTTACTAGACGTTTGTTCTAAAATTATCATATTATGAGAAATAAAAGCAGTACGAACATAAAAAATATATTTTCGGAAAGCTAAGATTAGTGGCAATTGAATAAAATATCTGTAATGTACATAAAAAAGTGGGGGTTTGCCTAAAAAAAATAATGAATGTAAATTTTTACCAAAAAAAACTGCCAAAAAAACGAAGTTTTTGTAATTTAATCCTAAAATAACCAAATTAAGGTACTGTTTTTGTGTATGAATTTTAAAGTATTTCAGCTGTTCTTAAAAACAAGACCAAAATCATAGTCGTATGTCTACAATTTTAAAAG